CCCCCCCCCCCCCCGGTTGCTACGGCCCTGTACTTCAACGATTTCCCATTTCCCAAGTCATGAAAATTTGCAAAGTGCCGGGGCCATAGGGGCGGTAACTTTAACAGTCAATATTCCCCCGGTAGCGGGGAAATTACCAAAATTTAACATTGTCAAAATGTTAATTTCCCCGCCCTATCCCGGGGGTCGGAGTTTCAATTGACTAGTGCATAAAGCCTCATTACTGAACGAAACAATCGTCAAAACTACAGCTCCCTATTGGCCGATTTAGCTCTCAATCCGTTCTCAACCGTGGAATAGCGAGCTTCTTATTGCCTTTTGGGTTAACGTTTGGCATAATTTATTCGCACGAAAGTTGGCAGTTACGACGGAACGTAAACGCTAAATTTGCATCCATGAGATGTTTGAAGCATAACACGGCGAGCCAGAGTAAAACGATTTTAATTTAAATCGATAGAAAATGGATCGCTAGAAAAATTTTTATGGCTGTTTTTGGGATCTGAAGGCTGAACGGCTAATTAATGTATTCTCTTGTGACTCTTAGTGTCTGGAGAAGTTTTAAGATTCAAACATTTCCTGTGCAAATAGTTGGACATATGTCTGCACGAGAATGAAAACGTTGTATATGCAAACATATTTTCGCATGATGCGATAGTACGTTAGGCAATCTCTAAACTCTAGTGATCTACACATGTCGATCACAGCTTCAAATCGAAATTGTGATTAGTGAATATAGTGACAACATGATAAAGTCTTTAGAATTCGCACATTTTACAAACAATATACATATATGGTTCATTTACATATATTACATGTAACATGTGGAGCCAATCAGGATTCAATTTCTTACGTTTGCAAATTTACATAACTGAATATTACGTTCGTTTACGTCCTTTGGCGCATGTTAACTAGTAACTCGTCATTCGTTCACTCGTTCGTTCACTTTGCCTTTGGTCTATTCGTAAATGTTTAAATATGCAAACCAATCAGCTTTCGCGATTTCAATGAAACAATTTACATACTGTATATACTTGCATATTCGTTCGTTCTCGTGCCACGGTGGTTAACTGTTATGACCTTCACTCTTCAGATTATGTATTCAAATTGAACATACAGTAATTTCAATAAAAGAAAACAACAACTTAGTCTTATAAGTTATAGTACAACTATATATTTTACATGATAACTGCCGTGGTCTGTGCGTGAACTCCCTGAAAATGATTACTTCTGCCTTCGTCTGAAACGTCAAGTGTTTTTAATCATTTTCTGGTAAATATAGTTCAGGCCCAAAACAACTGGACAGCTTGTTGAAGACTATCTTCAACCCTACGTTTCAGACATATATTATATACAGTACACTTTATACAGTAGCTATATACCATTATGCTCAGCTATGCCTATGGATTAGTAATCTGTAGTTCTGAGTGTGGTGTAAGGTCCTGTTCAGAAACAATGTCTGATTTAGCTGCATCTGGAATGTTACTTTCCAGAGATACAGTGGTCACTGTACCACCATTATCTGTTATGTTATTATTGTTATTCGCCACAGTTATCAACTCTGTTTGATTGAGTGTTTGTGCAGGGCATGTCAACATTGTCAATATTGGCAGTTTCTCTGACTGAACACAATGAATTGGGATCCCAGTTGAAACAAGCTGGTTATTGTTTGATACAACTGTTATAGGTACACCATCTTTAAGATCACTTGAGATAATATGGACTGTTTGTTGAGGAAACTGCATTGTACTTGAGCTACCGCTTTGGATTGTCTGTACTAATGATTCAGGCCAAAATCTCTGAGCCAAACGAGCTTGATTAGGTTTAGATTTCTTGGATTTGAATGCGTTTTCAGGATTACTGGACTCAAGCATTGGTTGAAGTATTCTTCGTCTCGCATTAATAAACCTTTAATGACGAAAAAATATAAATCTAAGTGCGATGATCTATGTCATGGATGTGTAAGAATGAATCATGGAAGTTCGTACTGGCAGTGATATAGGTTCTACTGGTAGCAATGGTACTAATTGTGGTGAAGATAAGATTATTATGTTGATGATGGTAGATTTGTTCTGCTTGAGATGATATTAGACATGAAGTGGTGGTTGTGTCAGTTTTAATAAGAGTGTCGTATGGATTATGCCATGATGGCATTGTTATACTGACTTGTAATTGTGTGATGATATTGTAGGGCATCATGGGAATGAACGTTTGTAGCTGTCATAGTTCTTTTCATGGTGGTTGTAAAGTTTCTACACTTTTGGTGGTAAATAATGTACAGGTTTTGTACCTGATATCACAATACTATATAAGTTGTTATTTATTAACTTACCAGTTGTTCACTTGCAACAAGGAAAGGTCAGTTTGATGAGCTAAAATCCTTTTCTCTTCTTCTGATGGATAAGGATGCTGCAAGTTAAATGTTAACAGTGACTAAGTTCGTGAAATTCTCTAATAAATATAGTACACTGTGACATTTAATGTCAGCCTGCCTGTTTTAGCCATTGGACAGCTTGCTGTAATACTAAACTTTAGTAATTTTACTTCAATCAACCAACTTACTGCAATGTGTTGGAAAAGCCATGCTTTCATTGTATTGGTTGCATGTTTTGGTAGTATACTACGTCTTGGCTTCTTGCTTGGTGGTGACGGTGATAGACTAGAGAGTGGTACTGTACGAAGTGACTGATTTGATGTGCCTAAAATGGAAAGGTTTTTGGAATGTTAACTATGAATATTACTGCCACAACCAGACATTGTCATTGATAATAAATAGATTTTTTCTGTGGTGGTGTTAAATATAATAGATGATTAGAATATGAACACATAAATTTGACAAGCATAAGTAAATACATATCTTTGAATTTCAATATTGAATTTTTCTTGAATAGAGGGGTATAAGATATAATTATAGTGGTCCTGCCCTGCTAATTTACTCTGTGGTCAGACATTGTGTCTGGTGGGCTCCAGAATTATATTCAGAGGCCGGTTGTTCAAAACTGGTTAGCTTAATTCCTAGGTTAACAAAAACTGCCAAAGCAATCCTCCCAACAGCTTGTTTATAAATATGGAATTTTTTTCTGGAAAACTTGTGTGGATTATCAGAAGTTATATTTAAGTTTTTTAATAGGCAAACATGCAGAGATACACAGACCAAGACGTCAGATTAAAGTTTAACCCAGGGTTAGCGCTAACCCAGGCCTCCTAATCCTGGGCACAGGCTTGCAATTTATTCCGTTGTTTGAAAGTTAATCAAACTATTGGATGCCTACCTGAGACAGGTGATTTGTACTGTGCATCAAGTGACCCAAAGATATTACTTGAAACATTCTGATCTGTACTGGTAGTTAAAACCATTGTGGGTAATGATGGTACTTCTGTAGACTGTAATGCAGGAGGCAGTTGGTCACTGAATGTCTTTATTGGCTCTGAACTTCCTATGGCCATTGATGTACTACTTGATGTAGATTGACTAAGATATGCCAAGCTGCCCTGAAGTTGATTCAACTGTGCAGATGAATCATTAGATATTCCACCCATTATACCATCACAACCAGATGAAAATATACCCAACATGTTTTCTGTTTGTAGTTTTCCTTTCAAACAAGCAATGTACCGCTGACAGAAATCTTTACACAGCTCATTCACCTTCTCGATTTCCAACAGATGAATCTTTAAAACGAGAATTGCTTTGACCATCTAGAAACAAAGCACATATTAAAATTATTCATTGAAGTCTTATTGATGTTTTTATCAATAACTATTTTTATTATATCAATAATCAATATTATAAAGTCCTATAATACATAATCAGTGTAAAACTGTTACATAATCAATACTAAAACCAGTTTGACTGTGTATGAAATCATCATATTCACATGCTCTGTGTTGCTACAGGAAAGGTAGTCTCCTACGCAGCCTGTTCAGAAGTGAATCCACTGTAATTTTAAAGTACATTTAGTACAATTGACCTCAGAGTAACTTCAGAATACCCGGCCATTGACCCACACCTACCCCCTCTCTAACCTTCAGCATTGCCTTGAACCGTGGTAAACCTGTGCTAACCCTTGTTCGATCATGTTGTGTGCACTGACTTGGATGGTGTTTCAGTGTTAAAAAAACCCAATTGATCAGTTCCCTGACTCACGACCATCCCCTCTCTAACCTTCAGCATTATGTACCGATCAATTCGAAACTTCGACATCCCCCCCCCCCCCCCCGGGCATATCCCGGGAATCTGACTTCGAGTCTTCTCCAGGGAGTAGGGAATTTGACGTTCTAAGTCTTCCATGTGGGGGGCATTTGATAAGGGTGGGGAATTTGAGCCAGAAGTCTTAAAACCTTGCCCGTTTTCACGTGCTTTTACTTTGCATTGGCGGCAAATACAGTTTTCTCAGATTTTGAGGGAAACAGCCTCAATTTTGTGAAAAACTGGCTCAAAGAAATGGGCATGGAAAAGCTATGTGCCTCATTTGAAGGTATGTACTACAAAATTGTGTAAAACTGTTAAATTTCCATAAGGTTTCCAAACTTTTTAAGCGAATTTCGCTATCTTGCCGAAAAACATTTCCGATCTGTATATTTTGTACTTTTTGTATTTACTGTTTCATAATTTTCATATGAAGGTGGGCATTTGAACGCTTAATTTCTTGTTACAGTGGGGCATTTGAAGACATTTTTTGCACAGGGGGTGGAGAATTTGATCAGTCAAATTTCAAAAAGTTCAAATTCCCGGGATCGGCCCGGGGGGGGGGGGGCATGTTGAAGTTTCGAATTGATCGATACATTCATAGCCAGTAGTGATGGGCGATACCACCAGTATCGATTCGATACCGATTATTTTTTCGTAAAAGTATCGAGGTATCGATTACCCAAACGATTACTATGCAGACGATTGTATTTCAGAATTTTCCGCCTTTTTCATAATTTACTCTGTTGACGAGGTCAGGAATATTAATCAGGGAAGTGGATAGCATGTCAAATAAAGTAAAGGAAGTTTGATTAAATCGATAAATGAAGCAAAATACAAAAAAGTACAAAAATTTTATTAGAAATAGCCATGAAAACAATGACACAACTACAGGATTATAATGAATGTCTAAATTTAAAAGTAATCGGAACACTTTTTCGATACCGTGCAGCATCGACTACTTATGATTTGGGCCTGGTATCGGGTGGTATTGATACCAAGTAATCGGTAATCGCCCATCACTAGTAGCCAGTAGCCATGCATACAGGGTGTGAAGGTATCAGGTTTTTTTTACTCATCCGGTATAGTGAGTTCAATTTTTGTGGCCTGGTATTCTAAAGTTGTTCCTCGACCTCTTTTGTTTTGAAGTGCTCGAAATGTAACAAATTAAACGTTCTAATTGTTCACCGAATTCCGTTTCAGGTTGGCTTCGCGCCAGCGCACAACTGAAGGTGCAAAACCCTTGATCAACACACCGACAGTACACCTTTTTAAAAATAATCTTTGGCCAATTATTACAGTATTTTGAACATCATTTGAAGTAGATGAATTTGTGAAAGTGATTTACGTTATGTAAACGCATATTTATAAGAGGTCTTCATGATGAAAGACCAAGAATATTTCAACTTCGACTCACCAAACTATCCGTTTCATCATTGCCTGACATCAGAGATTTCCCGTCTTGTCCAAGGTGTAGCAAGAACGATCTTATATCGTTTTGAAAAGCTTGACCACTCGGTCCTTCCTGACTGCCTGTCGCCCATTCACATTTATCAAATAACATAGCAAGAAGAGGAAACAACGGATGTCGATAAATTGCAAGTTTATCTGCCTGAGAAACTTCGCCTGCTTCGTTTACAAATGTGCCGTGTTGCTGTTGTTGTTGTGATTCCTCATAGCTTGGTGGCGGTTTATCGTGGATAACAAACTGTGGAAATTCTGGCGAAACTGGGTTTTCCCCTTGGGAAAGATTACTTCCAAGTCGGGCTGCTATTCCTTCCATTTTGATCTTGACTCTTTGCCTTTGAACACAAGGTAAATGATTAGTAACATACCGAACATGTGCTTCGAACGTTTCATATTAATACACACATGAACTATATATATTAAACACAGTGATATATAACGTTTCAATCCGTTTTATTATGCTTCCATATGCTCTACATATACACAGCAAGTACGGTATAACTAGCGTGTAATAGAAAGCTATTTTATATTCAAGAAAACAATTACTTGGTTATAAATAAAGAGGTAGAATACGACATTGACTGGCAGCTTACCTCTGTCACTCTTCGTCAAACACTGATGGCCTTTGTTCATGAACGCTGCCAATCTTTCTCCTAGCCCTGCCCACTTCCGGCAAAGTTAATAAATATGCAGAAAGTGACGCATTTAAGTGGACGTGTATAACGAGACTGATTGATGATGGATTAGCATGTTTGACAGCTGTTTTTGGCACAAAAATGATAAAAAGCTGATATATATATTGGCCATCGTTCGATATTTACTGCATATATCAAGTTTTTTCCACACGTCATTTCATTCATGACAATAGCTGGAAGGAAAATTCAACTCGTCTTGGACGGGAAACTCGTATGAATATATAATTTTTTTGTTTATCGTCACCATAATTCTAGATCCAGATTTTCCTTGCTTGGCAACGCTTTATCCGTCTCATTTATCCATCTGAATATGGATTTAAGACGAGTTTCTCGTCTGTTTGGACGGGTATTGGTATTAAGTTAATTAGACGGAAAACCGCGTCTGTTGCCGTATTTATATTACTGAGGAGTTTCCGGGACGAGTTTCCCGTCTAAGTCTAAGACGAGTTTCTAGTCTCTAATGAGTAATGTGAATTAATATGTGATGTTAATCCATTTCAGAAGTCAAATTTTCATTTCACATTTGACTATATTTTTCAATCTCCCGACAATATGTGAGCTTATTTGTCGGAATAGTTCCATATGGCCACTTCTTTCAGTCACATGGCAAGTTGTGCTCGAATCTGTCTGGTTTCGTGCGTCCCGTGCACTGGTCCCGTGACTACCGTACATTAAAGTCCCGTGTGAACGCAATTAGCCATTTCCCAAAGTCCTGGGTCAAGTCGCGCGAATCCTATGGTGGAGGGACAAGAAATATGGCAGCACACATGCCCCACATATTTAAATTAAATGTTTAATGTAAAAGGAGATATTTCGTTTTTGGTCATTTAAAAAGTTGATATTTAATAGTAGATGTAGAGGATATTACACGGCGGCGCGAAGATATGACTTTTATCTTCGAGTGGTGAAAAAATATTGTATAAATATTAAAAGTCACGTGATCGATATCTTCACTAGTGAAGATATGGAAAATATGTCACTGTGTATTTCTCAGTATCTCACTCTCTACTATATAATAAACTTATACTCTTTCACATATTTGACGCCTGTCACCACTGCCACTAATATATTTTGTCCCTCCAAACGATCCCAGAATGCACTGTGATCTATTTTGGGAAATGGCTAATACAGCTTCGTCTGGAGCCTCATTCTCACAAATCGTGAGCCAATCGCCTTACGTCTTGAATCTTGATTCATGAGAGCGAGACTGCCAGGCCAAGAAAGTATTAATTACGTAATTATCGATTTATCAATAGATGAATTCATGCAAATAAGCAAATTTCAGTTCCGAATTCATTGTCACCAATCATTTTAATGAATTTTATATTTTAATCGTCTGCCCAATATAAAATATCTATCCTAAAAACAGAAACCTGGTCCAGAGATATTCAGAGGCCTTCAAAGAACCAGTGAGACTCTCTTGTTACTGCATCTCTTGCTCAACCAACCTCGTCCCCATGGCATTTTGCCTCCACGGCTGAAGGTCGGTGAAAATGGCCCTGGGATCGGCTGGTCATATTCACATGACACCCAGAATTTCTGGGTATTTTGATACGATATAATTTATGTGAAATTGAATCTTTGTTGTTTGTTTACGAATAATAAATGAGAAGTAATGAACAATTTGCTGACTTCATCTAAAGACTTTATTTTAAGAGCAGTATGCTTGCATATATGCTTGCATAATTCTTAATTCCTATATCCAGGGACGCCGGAACGATAATAGGGCAAAGGGGGGCGGACGCACACCAAGGGCACCTTTACTGAAAAATTTTTTTTCACTGGAACATTTTTTGGCGACCCCCCCCCCGTCGCCAAAAAAATTTCGGTCAGTGTACCATTTTAGGGGTCAAAAAAATTTTCCGGACATACAAAAATTTTCCGTGAAGCCAAAAATTTTTCCGGATATATTAAATTTTCGCCATTTCTTCAAAATATTTTTCTAAATTCCAAAAATTTCCCAAAATTTTTATAAATATAAACTATAAATTACCTCAATCTCCTGATTTTCCTACAAAAAGCATCGTTGGAAATGTGATTTATCACGTATTATTTTACAACTAAAAGGGCACTTCTGCCCCCCCTGCCCCCCCCTAGCAAAAGGCAAAGGGGGCAGCCGCCCCCCCTGCCCCCCCAGTTCCGGCGTCCCTGCCTATATCCATGAGTCCAACCACAGACAATCCAGAAGACATTAGTCTTTGTCTTCTGGATTGTGTAAGGTCCGACAAACACGTAATACAGCAAGTCAGCAAGTATAGGACGTTAAGTGAATGTTGACTATGCATATGCATGTTCTCGGTATTTTCTTAAGTTATAATGCTCTGGGAACGAGGTTGTCTCTAGTTTGACTTTCTCAAAGTCGAACTGGTTACAGCGATATTTGTACGCCCGACAGGGACGTAGCGAAGCATCTGAAGTTGGGGTCGGAGGATTTTATACCTGAAATTTGAACTTCAATGTTAAACATTTTCCTGAAGTGTAACAATTATAACAGAGGTTTTTCTGATTGATTTCTACTGTCATACTGAGTTTGCGGAGACTGAAGGAGGACGGGTCTGGGGGTTCCTCCCCCAAATAATTTTTACATTTTTGAAGCTCCAGGACTGCATTTCTGGCGTTTTCTAAAGCAAATTCGCAAACGAATTGGATCTAAATTGACTGTATTTTGCAAAAATGGTTATCGTTTCACAAAAATAACGACTTTATTACGCAAATTTTACCTGAAACTGATGTCAAAATTTAAACTTGAATTTTACCTGATTTTTACCTGAGTTTCACAGTTGGGGGTGTTTACACCCCCCACCCGGTCGCTACGTCCCTGACGCCCGAGATGTGTGCTTGGGCAGGCTGAATTTCTTAAAATTAGCCGGAGTTCCCCAAACCCAAATCTCCCCAAAATCACTCCCCAAACTAGCCAACCGAAAGGCACTAGCCCTGCCACAGATTAGAGATTACACAATTAGAGATTGTACGAATAGATTAGAGATTTTTGTAATCTCTAATCTGTGAAAGTTGAAAGTTGTGTATTGAAAATTTCACTTTTTTCCCTCATAATATGTACAACTGAATGCATAAGACTGCATTTCCTGCGTTTTAAAAAAGTATTTTTGCATAAATACAGCTAAATTGACTGAATTTTTAAATATTATTTCAATATTTTCAAATATTAGATAAAAACTAAAAATTCCTTAGAAATTTCTTAAAAATTCTATTTCCTTAATTAAAAGTCTCCTTAAAAACTGATAATTTCTTCAGTTTAAGGAAATTTCCTTAAAACTGAGAGCCCTGATTCGTACGGCAGTACGGCACCCGATAGGTTGAATGGTTATGCTGATGATATTCAAATGCATATCCATCCAAGTTGAATGGTTATGCCGAAGACAGTCAACGGCATAACCGTCCAAGTTGAGTAGTTATGCCGAAGACATTCAACGGCATAACCATCCAATATTCAAAGGCGTTACCATCGAACTACATAACCATCCAATGGTTATGCCAAAGACATTCAGGGGCATAACCATCCAAGTTGAATGGTTATGCAGACTGTGTCCAGCATGCATGATGATTAACCTTTTTGAGTTAGATTTAATAGTTATGCTGATGATATTCAAAGGCATAACCATCCGAGTTGAATGATTATGCCGATGACATTCAACGGCATAGCCATCCAAGTTGAATGGTTATGCCGAAGACATTCAACGGCATAACCATCCAAGTTGAGTTGTTATGCCGAATATGCCAAGCATGATAATTAACTTTTTGAATTAGGTTGAATGGTTATGCTGATAATATTCAAATGCTTTCCATCCAACTTGAATGGTTACGGCTAAGACATTCAACGACATAACCATCCAAGTTGAATGGTTATGCCGAGGGCATTCAACGGCAAAATCATCCAAATTGAATGGTTATGCCGAAGACAGTCAACGGCATAACCATCCAAGTTGAGTGGTTATGCCGAAGACATTCAACGGCATAACCATCCAATATTCAAAGGCGTTACCATCCAACTACATAACCATCCAATGGTTACAGTGGCGGAAATCTCGGTGGGGCGAGGGGAGGGGGGGGGGGGGCGGCCGCCCCCCTACCTTCGTGGAAAATGACGAATTTTCGGAAATTTTAACCTATAAAAGGACTAAAAACAGTCTTTTCGAGTGCAAATGAGGGGGTTTGTCGGAAGGACAATCAATGGCATAACCATCCAAGTTGAATGGTTATGCCGATTATGCCAAACATGCATGCATGATGATTAACCTTTTTGAATTAGGTTCAATGGTTACGCTGATGATATTCAAAGGCATAACCATCCGAGTTGAATGGTTATGCCGATGGCATTCATCGGCATAATTCCAAGTTGAATGGTTATGCCGAAGACATTCAACGGCATAACCATTCAACTTGGATAGTTATGTCGTTGAATGTCTTCGGCATAACCATTCAACTTGGGTGGTTATGCCGCTGTTGAATATCATCGGCATAACCATTCAACTTGAATGGTTATGACTTTGAATATCATTAGCATAACCATTCAACCTAATTCAAAAAGTTAATCATCATTCTTGGCATAATTCCAAGTTGAATGGTTATGCCGAAGACATTGAACGGCATAACCACCAAATAATCAATGGCGTTACCATCCAACTACATAAACATCCAATGGTTATGCCGAAGACATTCAACAGCATAATTCCAAGTTGAATGGTTATGCCGAAGACATTGAACGGCATAACCATCAAATAATCAATGGCGTTACCATCCAACTACAAGTTGAATGGTAATACCGGTATACGTAATATTAAAAGTATATCAAGGCAACTTTTCAATTCAAATTTTTAAATGTTTCTGAATTCAGTGTTTAAAATGTCGTTGGTTGTCAAGGGACCCCGAGCTGATAATATGCCACGGTTCCCGCGAAACGTCAATCCAGCCCTGAACTAGTATAGAATGAAACCAAGAAAATATAAAATGCTTTAATTCATCTCGTATTGATGCTAGAGGAATTAAACGTCTAAGACGAATAAGACGTTTGTTTAAGTGCGTCGTTTGGACGCACTTAATTAACAGACGACGTTAATTTTTTATTCGTCTGTCTAATTTCCTGTATTTATATTAGACGACTTTAACGTCTCCGACTTTTAAAGACCATGTAAAGTCCGTAATGTAAACAAACGCTTTGTTTACATTTTGAACTCAGTGCTACAGTTGTAAAATATGATTAGATATATATTATACTGAATTTTTAACACTCTTCTGGTTCGCTATGCTTGAAAATGAATACAGACTAGAGATTTAATTCAAGAGAGTTCAAAAGATACGAAATATTAATAACATTCCAACGGTCGGGTCCTTTGTCGGGTCCCGACAAGGTCCCGACCATTGGAATGTCAGCCTGCGCAGAACGTATGCGCAGAACGGACTTTACATGGTCTTTAGTCGTCTCGGACATTTTAAAGCCGTGTGGCGTATTTTGTTGAATTTCATCTGACAACCAAAATATTACTAACTTTAAGAGAAATTACTAGAAAAATTACGAAGAATATTCAATTACCAAAAAGGTCCGAATAATTGCGAAATATTACCAAAAGTAATTAAAATTCCCGGCAAGTCTGGTCACATTGTACACAACGATGGGGGGCCAACGATAACGATAACGATTCGATAACTTGTATACACGGGCTGATTGATAAAAAAATTATCGTTATCGTCCAACTTCGTCATACGGTGCCTTATTATAGCCACGGCGATTTGTTGCTATAAAAGATACCAGATTTCTACATACAGGGACGCCGGAACGATGTGAAGACAAGGGGGGCAGAGATTCGTGAAAGGGCACTTTTGAATTGATATATACTAAGAGATGTTTGCAAAACATCGGGAGTTGAACTTCGCCTAATCATGTTTTCTATTTATTGGATGATAGGGGTGTGAGGGGGTTCTCCGCCAGGCGATTGTGCTATTCTTGAAGCTCGATGACTGCATTTCTTGCGTTTTCTGAAGCAAATTCGTAAAAGAATTGCACTAACATTTCTGACAATTCGCTATTTCGCCAAGGCAATCCTTTAAATTGAAAGGGAACCTTTGCCTCCCTTGCCCCTCCTGGTAAAGGGCAACGGGGGCGGCTGCCCCTCCTGCTCCCCCAGTTCCGGCGTCCCTGTCTACATACCTTATAGCCACGGCAGTTTGTGGCTATAAAAGATGCCAGATTTCAGTATACCTTTTAGCCACAGCGGTGTGTGGCTATAAAGGATACCAGATTTCAGCAGAGCCGCCGAGAGGGGGGGCAGGGGGGGAGGCAAATTGCCCCGGGCCCCGAGGTGCTGGGGGCCCCTGAAAAATTTTTGTTGGGCCCCAGTCTTTTTCCTGTGTTAAATATTTCCGCGCAAAGGACAACATATCTGTTTTATTGGGCTAAGTACCAAAATTATGTATAGAAAAATGAGATAAAGTCCCTTGAAAGTGTGAGGTTGTTGTCCGGAAAAAATGTTTTCCGGAAAATTTTTTTTTCAAGAAGGGGGCCCCCTTAAAAAAAATTTGCCCCTGGCCCCCGCCAACCTCTCTGCGGCACTGGATTTCAGTATACGTTTTAGCCACAGCGGTGTGTGGCTATAAAGGATACCAGATTTCAGTATACGCGTTTTAGCCACTAGGCACTACGGCGTGTGGCTATAAATTAGGATACCAGATTTCAGCATACCTTTTCGCCACGGCGGTCTGTGGCTATAAAGGATACCAGTTTTCAGAAGACAAAAATTCATGATGTCGGTGGTGTCTCTACCAATGAGCAGGCCAGTTTCTATGCGTTTCGACGAATAGATCGTTTGTTTAATGAGGCTATACGTTTTCATTGAGTTTTGCATGTTAACTGTTCAAAAACTGTTAACATTTCTAATTCGACGGTTGGGCTGTCTTGCTGTTGCAGTCATGACTGCGAGGTAGTCGAAACGTTGAATGTCTTGAATTAAAATTGTTAACTGTTTTCGGAGTGTCCATTGTCCTATTCAAAAGCTACTCTGAATTGATAAATTGATTATATTTAGAATAATATTTTTTTTGAAATATAGGCGAACAATAAAATAAAAAAGTGTGATTGAGACAATGGTACAGGTCGAGGCTACATGGACACTATGGCAGAACCTCATGCATTAAAAAGCTCATGTTCCGCGTGTGCACTCATGCACTCAACTGGGCCTTTTGTAAGAATTCGTCAGTCGGGGGGGGGGGGGATATCTACAGAAAGGGAACATACTATACTGAGTGTGGAGAGATGACACATGGGTGTTGGTGACAAAAAGTTTGTTGTGGTGTCGTATGTGATAGTAGTGGGTCTGGGGGCATACTCCCCGGTCACTAACTTGTTTAGCATAGCCTTCAAACATCTCAAATCTATAGGGTCTGGGATATGCTATCCACTTGGAAATTTTTAAAATGTTAGGTATTTATATACAATGCAATGTTTAACATTTTTAAAAAGACATTGAATGATGACGTAAGATTCACAAAGCAAGGTTCTGTTACTAGAATATCAAACCTCCCTTCTAAATTCCATTTTTCTTCCAATATTTTGCTTATATTTTAGAGAAAAGCGACCTTGACTGGGGGAACGGCAAAATGGTTGACTGGGGGGTACCATGGGGGGGGGGGCGAGGGGGGCTCCCCGGGCCGTTGTATAGTCTAAAAAGGCTCTCAAGCAAATTCGGGAAGTGTCTGTTTCCATAATAGATCTTTCATGTAATTACGTCTCAACTACACTGTTTTCAACTTAGGACTAGATTTTAAGTTTGTTTCTCATGGGCCATGGTCGGAGAAGCAGAACATCCTTCGTCAACACATGCATAAAAAGAATTTTGTATTTTGACTATTTAATGTGGAAATAAGCTTAAACACGAAAACGAGGCCGAGGGCCATGGCCCCTCTTGGCCCCTCAGCCTCGTGTTCGTGTTTAAAGAGGGGCCATGGCCCCTCAGCTTCGTTTTCGTGTTTAAGCTTGTTTCCACATTTATTGGTCAAAATCCAAAATTCTTTTTATGCATGTGACATTGTGACATGTGTTGAAGAAGGATGTTCTGCTCCTCTGATCATAGCCCGTGAGAAACAAACTTAAAATCCATTCCATTTAGGTGGTCCTAAATTGGAAACAGTGTGACGTATTACCGGAAAGGTTCCGGAAAGGTCTATTGTACCTTCTTATTCTGTGATTGTACTGACAAAAATGAAAAAATGAAAAATCTTGCATTGATCATGAGATCGATAATTAAATTTCGTCACAATTTCGTCACGAATTGATTGAGTAGCGCAAAGCCTGGGAACAAAACACAGTATTGTCAATGTTTTGACCAGACTAAAACTGTTTATATACATATTATATTCAGTTCAAATTTGTGATACATGTTCCTGTTAATAAATACTGTTTTTATCAATTTTATGAGATAAATATGCCTTACTAATTGCAGGTAAGTTTTTTTAAATTGCTCGACTTCTATCCCAGAAACGTGCAACATAACTGAAAAACGTTTACACTAATTATTTTAATAATTGTATTCAAACATTTATTTTGTTTTCCAAAACAGGTATTTAATGAAATTAACTATATACTGTATTCACATTTTTTAGTGATGCTTTGCCGTTCATTTTAAACACCATATATTTTCATATTGAACCCACTGTTGAACCCCTTTTTTCTCGGGTTTTCAGTTTTCACAAAAATTCAGTGCGAGGCATTTTGACAAGCCTCCGATGCGAAAATTATAGGATGCCTTATTCATTTTGTGGATATAGTAGATTACAATATTTTATACCTTTTGTAATCCTTCAAGTAAATTTATAAAATAATAAATTTCCTAAAACAAAATAATCTGCAAAACACAAAATATTTCGGAAAACTGGCGTTTTACCGCAAGCAAAATTAATTGCTTTGAAGCTGTGTTGTTGCTATGGCAACAAACTATCTTCGTGCTGATTTTTATTTGCTACAAATATGTCGGATTCAAATGTCGGCAATACGAATTCTGAAAATAGTACAAATGGGGAAACCTCTAGTTCAGATAAAAAGCCATCTTTAACAAGCTTGACACATAAGTTGAAAGCTGAAGCTCTTCGGAGATATAAAATTGACGATGAAGTCAACAACGAAGCCGAAGGCCGTACTCAAGATTTAGCTCAAGATGGAAACGTTGATTCGAGCAAACTAAAAGGGCAAGAGCTGAATAACCACCCACAATCAGACGATGTTACTAAGCAAGAAGAAACGATAGAACCCAAAGGAAATCAGGAAAGTGCTGGTTTATCTGTGAGTGACACAGTGAGCACTGGAAATGAGAAAGAATTATTAAGTGGTCCGACCGTAGAACAGGGCACCGATGTCGCAAAATCGAATGAAGCTGATGAGAAGCAAAACATTGCATCGGAAAAATTTGAAGACACTGAATCAACTAAAAGTCCAAACGAGAGCTTGCAGGTTTCTGATTCGATAAATAATCAAAAGATAGACTCAAGTGATCATTACTTTGTTGATTCATCAAATAATAAAGATACAGTGCCAGAATCATCTTCTGTCCCTACTGAAGGGTTAGAGTTAGTGGAGGATACGTATCGATCATTGGAAGGAAACAGAAGTGATATTATCTCTGCTGTTAGTGCAAATACAGTCACTGAAGTTGAAGATAGAAAACTTGGATATTCTGATAAGAATGAGCATTTTACTCAGTCCAGTGAAAATGGTCCCTTACAGAGTAATTATAATAATACAACTAGCTATGATAATGGAAGTGAACTTATTGACGGTTCTTCTGAAATCCAACTTCAGTCTGGGAATGCAGTATTGTCAGACCAAGTTAATTTGATTAAGTCAACATCGAATATTGATGACAGTTCTGGAACAAATACTATCGAAATTTCTGAAGCTGATAAAGTTATGCAGTCATTAGATCAAGACATGGGGAGTGGAAGTGCAGAATTTAAAGATGTGATGGGAAATGATCATTCTGTTGAAAATAGTGACAATAAGATGCTAGAAAAGGCAGCCTTAACAAGTGAGGAAATTGAAGATGACGAGGCAGCTCATCAGGAAAATGCTTTCTCTAATGACTTGGAAACTGATTTAAAATCCAATGTAAATAATTTAACAAGTTCCACAGAACAGAATGAGAGCAATGATGAAAACAAGGGTTTAGAACAAAATGTTACATCAAATACAAGTAATATTGATGCCAGGTCTTTCAAAGGTAACAAGTAAACAAAATGTATCTTTTTGGTTGTCAGTTAAAAGGAACATGTGTCCATTTTGGTTTGAAATTGGGCATGTGTTTTATTTTTTCTGGATATGAAAATGTTAGCCCCCCCCCCCCCCCCCCCCCTCAGGCAGCAACTGAAGGTAGAGGAGACTTCAGCATCCTGTTGTGAAAAGTTAAAATAAAATATTCTACCCCCTAAAGGCCTTAACCCTTTGAGTTATATTGCACCCTACCTAGGGTCAATTGTATGGAAACTGGATGCCACTATCCACTGGATAGTGATTTTTTCAAGCTTTCTTAAATTGATCATTGACTGGTTCAACCCACATACTCAAGTTGCCCTTTATTAATTGTTGGATCCATATTGGATTTCATAGTTTTATTATATTTTTACAACCGTTGAATTAATCGCTATTTGGTTGATATTGCGCTTAATCGCTGCCTTCGTACAACCGACCCCAGTACTTTCATTGGTAATTTACTGACTCTCTAATGCCAGACAATTTTACTTGGCAAGGGGAGAGCACTGGCATTGAATTGGTTAATTGCTTTATGAGAAATAATAAACTGTCAGGATTCAACAAATGCTGATGGACAAGGAGCCCTTTTGGAAAATGCAGGTCTTTGTGCTTGTTTCCACTAAATGTAAATGATGGGTCTGTGCAAGATACTGCATGACCCTGTGTGGTATTTTTTTATAATAAAAAAGTTGAACTACAGTAATATGTTCGTCTGTGTGACTAGTAGTCAACTGACATTAATAGGACTTGTCCACTTGGGGAAAGGAATGTTATGGGAATGTAAATGTATGTTGTTTTGCAGGTAATATAATGGAGCAAAAAGATGGCAATGAGGAAACCTCTCCAAAACTAGATGAAGGGAATGATACAAGTGAGTCTGTTGAACATGATGGTGGTGATGTGATCTCCCCTCCTAATCCTCAGGCAGGGAGTACACAGGAAGAATCTGTAACAAATCAATGTGGTATTGATGCAAGTTATCATAATGTAGGGAGTGCAGAGGGAGAGCCCAGTGTATCAGTTGAAGGTGGTCCAAGTTCTTCAAACACTGATGCAGCTCAAACTAATGATGTTGCATCAAGTGAAGGTGGTGGTGATAACAAGAACACAGATGGTGTGGTAGCTGAAGAGAATGAGCAAAATATGGCTGATCCTGCTCAGGAGGATGCAACCAAAAATGGTATAATAGAAAATTGCTTCTCTTTGAATATCACAGTTCTGTGTTACCCAAAGAGAATCACTTGGAATAAACAGGGGGTGTAGGAATTAAGCTTCATTGTTAAACTTAAAGGGCAGGGGACATTATATTCCACAAGGTTGGCTCTAAAATGTGGAGATCATTGTCTCTAGATCTTTGAAAATGGCATTCTTAGTATCTTCTCTACCGCTTTTGTTAATTTGTTCATGATTATTATTTGTGAGTCTAGCGCTGTCTGTGTTAGGATGGCTTTAGTTATTAATTATTAGTTGGCCGATTAGCACAATTTTTTTAAAATTTAATATTTTTAAGGGAGGGGGAGAAGCTATTCCAACTCCCATATATAAAATGTTTTGGGTGTGTAGCCCCCCCTCTTCCCCCTGTTTCTTACAACCCTTCAGCAGAATATGGTGGGGGACATTTAGTATTTTACTAGTAAGAACTGAGTTAAATATCACTGCTTCACCCTGAAGACCAAGCCTGGGTATAGTACATGTACTAGGGAGCTTAAGATACACCAAATCTATGACGCGGACATGACGAAAAACTGCCCTCTATGGTCACAGTTTTGCCTCACGGGTAAAAGTATGGATTTTTGTTGGTAACCAAAGCCAGGGACATGAGAAAAACAAAGTAAAACAACTAGTCTCCCATTATTAGTGACTGGTTTTTAGTCGCGTCCGCGTCGCAGATTTGGTTCATCTTAAGCTCGCTACCTGTTGGTTTTGGGACATTTTATATTTTTTAGCAACACATGATCATCCCATCAAAACTTGAGACTACTTTTAAATTAATAGTTTCTCCTATAGGAATCCAAATTTCCTATAGAAATTTCAATACAAAATCTTATAATTGTGCCAATTAGGTTATTAAGCCATTCCAAGCCCTCTGTAAAATTTATTTCTTAATTACCGTGATGAACATTTTCTGTCAGATAAATCTCCTACTGATGAAGATGAGAAAGCATACTTAACAGATGATTTTTATTATGAAAGACCAACATCATTATTCAATCCATTATTGACCGAAGGAGTTCCTCGCGATCTTCTTTCCCTGCAGTATCCTTTTTATTACAGATGTTACCCAAGTGTGCACATGCATAAAAATCACATTCATGCCCACAAATGTTTATGTACTTTTTGTGACCATGCCTATGTACTTTTTGCATGATGTTTACAATTCCAAATTTAAACAATCAATCAAGTTTTTATAGTTAGTTAATAATTGTTACAAGAATCAGACTGGCTGCTTAGAATTAGAATAAAATTGTAAACATGTAATAAGTATGTAGTTGTGGTTGTCAATGTTTGTGGGCATGAATCGAATATGAATTTTGGAAATAAAAACACACTTCTATGACATCCATAATATCTTTTGAAATATAAGTGGCACTGCGTTCCTCGAAGCGTTCAATGGAAGCAATTGATGCCTCATTCCGGGAAATTGTTACAAGTGATAGTCCAAGCGGGCATCTTTAGTTAAAGTTAATCTTCTGACTAGAAGTGAATTATGAGACATTGTATTTAATTGGACGTACAGTACATAATGTACTGTATAACGTTGCAAGTATCAGAGGATAGTTAAGGCTCTATTAACGTGATCATTATGCTTTGAAGTAAATTCAAATCTTCGTATAAATCATTTTAAAATTTGTAAAACGACTGCTGAGTGAAATCATTATAAAAAATGAAAATCAAATTGAAGCAAAAACATGGATACAGTGGAACAACAACAGCCATAAAAGTTTGGCCGTATTAATGGGGCCGTACCACATTATAAATGTGTTGACTCTCAGTTTCAAGTTCACGACTAAGAAATATCGGCGACCTTCGACTGGGGCAAGAAGAAAAAAAAAATCAGTGACCTGTTGAAAGGGCATCTGCGTTGTCAGTGTTCACAGTCGTGTCGGTTTTCTAGATTTACAGGGTGCGATAATTCAAGATTTTTAGTCGTACCTGACTGACGCCAATGATTATTGATGCGTACTTGCGCTAGTACAAACTCAATACTCAATGTGTACTTAGTCTTTAAAATAAAGTAAACGTTTCTGACTATGAAGTATTCAAACTACGAGTTAGAACAAGAAGCACAATGGATCATTTGCATTATAGACTAAATTTTGATCTAGAAAAAAATTTCATCACAGCTTGAAAGAGCATCACAAAATTAGTAATATTCCAAAGTTTCGTTGCGAAATGTTGTAAAATGCGGATAATATAGCCATGCGAAGTTTGCCGTTTTTCAGTCATTTTGTATTACGTACGGGAAATTGACAGCCCAATCGGGTGTTGGGGCATCAATTTCCCGTTTATAATACAAAATGACTGAAAATTGCAATTTTCGCAAGGCTATATTATCCGCATTTTACAACATTTCGCAACGAAACTTTGGAATGTTACTAATTTTGTGATGCTCTTTCAAGCTGTGATGAAATTTTTGTCTAGATCAAAATTTAGTCTATAATGCAAATGGTCCATTGTACTGTATATTATACAAAAAATGGACTCCATCTTTCCTTAGTCGCCTTAATCCAACCGTGTTTCATGCCAAGACATGTCAGACTTAAACACGTACCAACTAAGTTACGGTATTGAATACGATCATATGGTGCCTGCAAAAAGTAAGTACGCAGATAGCAAGAGTTCCGCGTACCTATACGTGGTACGTGGCTGAAAACAAGGAAGTATCAGACCGTAATATTGGCGTACCTCCGGTACGTAAGCACGCGAATTATCGCACCCTGAGATTTAGCGCGAGTGGCCGTATTAACGTAACGGGGTGAAATTATATAGAGAATAATACATGGGTGCGCGGAAATACCAGATTTATTTCGAGTGTTGATCATGATATCTCACGAGTGAGCGCAGCGAACGAGTGAGATATCATGTTCAACACGAGAAATAAATCTGGTATTTCCAAGCACCCATGTATTTTTCTGTTTATTATATAAAGGACACTCTTTGAAAAGCGATAATTTTTACAGAAAAGCGATAATTGAAAAGCGATAATTTTCACATGTGAGATTATCATGAATAATCTCACATGTGTGATTATCATTTTTATCAGTGCTCGAAATCTCTATAAAGCACTATACTTTATATAATAAATAGGATTATACTGTTTGGGATTTCAGAATGTGGCCGTTGGCCGTATTAACGGGTGATTGTATTAACCGGGTATTTTTATAAGAAAATGTATGGCCCGTAAGGCCGTTTTGCCGGGCCGAAAAAAAGTGTCCGTAATAACGAGGTAAGGCGTGGTCCCACCATATATATAATATTGTATGAAACTGAATGATGGGCCAACATGTTGACAGCTGGAGAAAACAATTTCCTTCCTGGGAGCCCAACCTGGATATAGAAATTTCCTGCAGAGCGACTGAGTATTTTTGTGCTACTGTAAATCTGTGCCTACACGTGATATCCTAGCTGGTCATAGTAAACTCAAGAAAAAATGTCTGTCAACCATAACTTGTTGGGCCCACAGTGTGACATGCGTGTTAGGGTTTCCTTCAAATTTTCAAGTTGGAAATTAACATATTCTGCCTTGTTTAACTGGTTGTAAAAATTTAGTTTAATTTGTTGTCTGTTTCAATGTTTTTCTTCTTAACTCTGTACCCAGTCATTCATTTGGTTATGAGTGCACAAAAAGAGAGAATCTGCATATTTTGGACACAAATACAGTTGTATTTTCCGCTGGCAACTTGGTACAGATACTAAATTTGAAGACAATGGAACAGACGTATATTGGTGGGACTAATGATGGTGGTATAGGAGCCATTACGGTGAGTAGTAGCCTGGTAGTAGGGACATTATAGGGATATTGGAGACTTTTTGGGATATTGTAGTTTTTAATTAATACGCAGTAAATGGACCTTAGAAGTGCTCACGTCACGTTATTTTCAAACAATGAATTGTTGACCCACGAGTATCCCACAATGCACTGTGCATTCCAGAAGTCCTCTGTATTAAAAAATACATGACGTAAGCAATTCTATGGTCTATTTGCATATAGTGCCGTTCTAAAGTTACGTGTTTCTCTTCACTGTATTTCGTTCACAGACACAGGCATTACGTTTTTATATATGCAATAACTTGAAAAAGGTGACTCAAAAGACGGGATACACTCTTTATATCACACGCAGTGACTGACGCGAGATTATAATCACACAACCTTACCTTAGTCGCAAACCTTGATAACTTGCACACCGCCCCCAATTTGAAACAAATTTAGTTTTAATTTGTTTTCGATTAATTGTGTCACACCGCGATCTTGTATTTACCTTAATAATTATTTGGTTGTTGCTGTAGTTCTGTGTTTTGAGTAGTTGTCAAATTATGCTTTTATACAGTATATGTACAGTCTGGACGCCCCCTTTTGAAACCAGCTTTTGCTGATGGGGCTAGCCTCATTATTAAATAAACTTTTAAGTAAATAAATAATTCACCAACCACTGCGCCACCAGCACTCCGTGTTACTGATTGCACCCAACTGTCCACTGTATTTTAGGTTCATCCAAGTCGTAAGTATTTCGCGGTTGCAGAGAAAGGAGTGTTGCCAAGCATAAATATTTATGAATATCCTTCGCTCAAGTTGTTTCGAGTGTTACGAGAAGGAACACTAGAGGCTTATGCTCATCTCAATTTCTCCTCCAATGGGACGAAACTTGCCTCACTTGGTAGTTCTCCTGATTTCATGTTGACTGTTTGGGATTGGAAGAATGAAAAAGTCATTTTGAGATCTAAAGCATTCTCACAAGATGTTTACAAGGTCGCATTTTCTCCCGAAAATGAGGGACATTTGTGCACTAGTGGAAGTGGCCATATCAGGTATGAAATGTCGTCTGCACGCTTTCTGTATGCTTTATATAGTATTTCATTTTTAAACTTGTTCCTGATTCACGTTTCAATGTGGCGTACGTGACTGTCAGAATGTGTGCCGCCTCCATCAGGGAATTACTGCATTTTACGCTACGCTACCATTAAGCGACCATTAGCCAATCAGATGCGTTTGATATATATACCCGATTAGCCAATCAGATGCGTACTAAGCCAGCAAGAGATAACGGTAGTGGAAGTCAAATCTGAACCTCCCTAATAAAAGGCATGCGGATCTCACTCAGCTGCATGAGCTCGTATGAACATGCACTAAGTTGTACAGGACCAACTTGAGCTGTTATTTAATAACAGTATATAGCTTTAGGATATATATTAGTACATATTACATATAATGGAAAACAGAAATTGTCAGATCATGATATATTTTATTTGTTCACGTGGAGTAAGATGAACAGTAATCTTTCCAAGTTTGAAACGTCAAATCTAGTGGACCTAATATTCGTTGATTCACAGAGTGTGGTTGAATAATTTGTTTCAGGTTTTGGACGATGGCAAGTACGTTCACTGGTCTTAAACTGCAAGGTGAATTGGGAAGGTTTGGTACAACTGAACTCACTGATATTGAAGGTAAGGCACAAGTTAAACAATACGAATACTTCATTCTATCCAATCTGAAGATATAGATTCATTCAGAGTAAAGGTAGGCTACGCATTCATATACAGCGATACGTGAATCTGTAACTCAATCTGATGATTTGATGTCAGCAATTTCGCTGACACCGATCTCCAGTAAAAATAGACTGAATACTCAGTTCAGGTTCAGTATAGGTCAGTGCTCTATACAGTGTATACCTCGAACAATCTGGATGTTTGGAAAAAGGCCCTTTCTCCGTTTTAGTACTTCCGTTTTAGTACTTTAGAAAATTCTCGACCGATGCTAGAAATATCAAGGTAGTCAGTTTTTGTACTACTGTACATGGCTTGTAGAGATGTGATGACAGATTGGACAGTTAGCATTAGTGCGTCTAGAATAGGCTAGAAAAGTATTATCCATGTGTAAATTAGAGAGGTTCAGAATTGACTTCAAGAACCATTACCAGCCGCTAGCTCTCACATGCTTAATCTGATTGGTTAATGATAACGTAGCAGTAGTTGAAGTCAAAATCTGAACCTCTCTATTAACCTTCATATAATTCAAATCCATTTGGTAGTTTTATTTTCACTCCAAATCCCATCAGATACGATTTAGAATGGCTTTACTACATCTTTAGTTTTCACGAAAAGTTGATAATCAGCACGTTTTCTCTACTTTCAATTTTTAAACAAGGATTTGTTGAGCTTCCAGACGGTAAAGTACTTTCTGGATCAGAGTGGGGTAATATGTTGTTATGGGATGGTGGCTTGATTAAAGTTGAAATATGCAAGAAAGGAAACAAACTATGTCATAATGGAATGATTGAACAGTTCTTTATGGATGAAGGAGAATTGATGACTATTGGGGCGGATGGATTTATTAAGGTTTGTACTTTCTTCCCCAGTTTGACAGTCATAATAAATAAGTGCCATAGATACTTCTATTGTGTGTATATTTCCAGTAAACACATGATTAGTACATATATATAGTGAAACCCACCTATACAGCACATCACGGTCGGTGGACCTAGCTTGTTTTGGTAGGAAGAGGAGGGAGGGGTGGACGGGCATTGGTCATGGAGCGGTGCGTGACCGTTGATTGAGGCTAAGTGGATCAATGCTGAGAAGGCCCTGCACCCCCATGCTTTGAGATCCCACGCCGCCTAGTTAAACCAATTCGAAATTTTTCAGTAGATGAATTTCATCTGCAGCGAGTAAGATAATCTTCGCAGATAATCTTCACGGCTGGAATGCTCAAATACGTCTTAGACAGCACAGTATCATTGACACTGATAACGTTTCCCACAGTTCACTCGGACCAGTCTTTCGCGCGATCTATGTATTGTCGCGATCTTGATCTTGCGGGGTTGGTTTGGATATTTAAAGCATGCGTTAATTTCAATGACCGCAGTTAATAAACGAACGTCCAATTAGCAAATTAAAATAACGTAATAAACGAGAAAATAGACTTAATTGTACGGCGCGCGCGTGTTATGTTTCTTTCCAGTGCGTTATCTGACTATCTGATCTCTTTGGACTAAATTGTATTCTGTCAAGAGCAATACGTAAAATCGATTTGTTTTCAAATATTAATATCATCAAGGCCATGAGCGTTTAAGCGCGCATTCCAGTGAAGAGCAGTGTTCCTCCATGGGCACCTTAAACAACACGAAATAGCCCAATGTGTGCTCAGTCGTTTCCCCCCACATAGCTATTGAGAGCGCGAGTAACCCCCTAGTTTAAGCATGTTTACAATGGCTGGCATTGTTTACAATAAGTGGTGGTGAGGAGCGGATTCATCTGAAACAGGGAGTTATTTCTGAATAGATTTGTGTTTAAAACGTCCCAAAAAATTCACGTCCACGTCCCAAAAAATTCAACTATGTACGTTTGCTAACCGATTTCTCTAGGTGTGGGATTTTGAAGCTATTGATAATGCTGACATCACAGACGAAAATAGTCGGGTATTTGAAATGGAACCCATGTATGAACTTAAAGTAAGTAATACTAATAGGCAACGGCGAATTTAAGAAAGCTTGAAAAATCACTATTCCGTGGATAGCGCCTTCGTACAATTAGGGCCATCTAAAGTATTAGATGTCACCTGCTGTATACTGAAGTATTGTTCTATCTATGTAAGGTTGGGCCTGATGTAAAATTGAAATCAATGGTAAAATCTGTCAATCTTAGTACACCAACAATTTGGTATGGACAGGTATGATCAACGTGCATGTATTTTTTATAGTCATGGTCACTGGTGAATTGCACAATAAATCACATAGTTTAAACATAATTAAACATTTCTGGTATTATTTTAATAGGATGCATCTGGTGGACTATGGAAATTGGACCTTTCTTTTACACATACAGTAAGTTTGTTATCAATTGCAAAGTTTAATGTTCTGGTGCATGTGCAATACGAAAAGACTAAAGGAGTTTACACTTGCAATTTTTGCTGCGATTTTAGGTGCAATTTTCTTCTTCTGATGGATGTGAACGAGTGGATAAGTTATGAATGTTCAGATGAGGGAACATGTACTCAGAACATTCATAACTCCTCTACTCGTTCACATCCATCAGAAGGAGGAAATCGCAAGCAAAAATTGCAAGTATAAACAGGCCTTGTGATGCAATGTCGTGTACAAATGTTTGTTGGTGGTATAGGCAGAAGAAGCTTCTTTTCGTGAAGAGACTTCACGAAACACCTTGCTGTAGGTTGTCTTCTGGGCATTCTATTTTTTCCTGAAGTAACTTGGACCATTATAAATATTATAGCCTGTGTAGCTGGTGGTTCGCAGGCTAATATAATTCGGAATAGCTCTCGGCTAAGAAATTAGACGTCATACCCAGACTCATTATTAATTTATTATCATATGACACCTTACATTGTCTGCCTTCTTCTTGTAGAGTCACGTTCCTGAAAAGTTATTTTCCTTCCATGCTGGCAATATCACGTGTGTAGACGTGTCACCCAGCAATCACATGGTCGCTACGTGTGGTTTAGATTGTAAGTACAGCATCATTCTGATAATGCATGTATAGAGCGTTAAACTACAGTATTATACCGTATATATATGCCTTAATGTACAGTCATTGACTTTTGATGATATGCAATTGATACCGAAATCACTCAGTAATCAAATGGGACCGAAATCACTCAGTAATCTCTTCACATATAAGGGTGAGGTGACAAACTACAAACTTCGGAACATTTCAAGTAGTCTTTGTTTACCACAACCGCGTACTAATAATATGAAAAAAAGTTTCGTGTATGACGGAGCACACGTTTGGAATTCTATTCCTAAAGAAATAAGAGAGAGCAAATCCTTTTCTTCCTTTCGAAAGAAAATCACTACTCACATTGACTGATAGCTAATTAACATAGATGTTAATATTATCTGTATATAGATTACTACCTTAGTTTGTTAGTTCATATAATACTATATATCTTATATAATTTTGTAAATAGTTTTATAATTCTTTTCTGTATACTTTTCGCACGCCCCTCGTGGAAATCAGCTTCGGTTGACGAGGTCAGCGTGTTTAAATAAAGTTTATCTATCTATCTATCTACATTGTATACAGTCTATTTTGGATTTTCACTGTCAAAAAATTGAGCATGATGGTCCACGGTAGATTAAATCCTGTTTTTTATTTGGTCATGCATGACTGTCACGAACATGTACAGGTAGGTTATCGATGTACGGTAATAGCAGGGTACGATAAATCGTGTACTTACTACGCAAACATTACGGTCTAGTACTTCTTTGCTTTTAACCACGTGGGTAAGCGGACTCTTGCTCTCTGCATAGTACTACTTACTTTTTGTTGATATCATACGACCTTTCCAAACAAGTGTAAGTCTGACATGTCTTGGCATGAAACATGATTGACTGATGAGACTAAAGAATGTTGGTGTCGATTGTAATGTATGTGCAATTGTGCTCCTTCTTCCAACTCGTGGTTTTAGGTTACTGAATGAATACCTTTCAGAAACCTGTACTTTATGTAGTTTATTTTAAAGACTAAGTACACCTTGAGTCTTACATTTGTACCAGCTGAAGTATACGGCAATAACCATTGGAGTAGCAGTCAGGTACGACTAAATATCTTGAAGCTGCATCATATACACAAGCCCCCAAATTATATTTTTCGTTACCTACTTTGGAGTTTGCCCCCCAACATTCAGAATTCTATCTCTACGATTAGTCCGGAGTGAGTAGCATGCAACACATAAAACCCACTCAGATAGATCGAAACTATTTCACTTGGCCAACCACATTGACTTGGTCACGACAGCCATACTCACGATGATTGTTCAAACTAGGCTTTGACGCCTTGGAGTCAACAGCGCCAAATGTCATAACGTGACGTCATGTATATACATGTAAATGAATGTAAGCAGTCGAAATATTGTTCAAACTACAACATTTATTCGAAACATTGTTGAAACTACAACATTCATTGTTTTTTAGGTACGGTTCGTCTTTACGATTATGTAAATAAGACGGCGCTGTGTTCGGCAAAATATTCTCGTGGTGCAGCAAGTCTACTTTGGCTTCCTAAAGCTGTAAGTTAACAATAATTATGCAATAAATTAAAGAGGACATGTTTACTGAGCTGGTTTCGGTTCTAATGTAAAGGATGTTCAGGAAAAAGCCCCAGTCAATAATAAATATTTACCGAGTATATTGCCTTTTACTACTTTGAATATTTGCATTATCATGCCACATTATACTTGGTAAACTGAACATGTATTCTAAATGTCTTTTCATAATTGTAGGTAGACCCTAAGTGTGCGTCTATTCTCTGTGGCTTCTCTGATGGTGTAGTTCGGTATTTATCAGTGGCCAAAGACGACGCTTCAGCTGTACGAAATAGAAGAAATAAATCAAATTTAAGTTTTCAATTACTACAAGTCTTCAAGCCACATACAAAAAGCGTTACGTGCATTGCCATTGACAAACATGGAAAAATGTTAGCAACCGGAGTAAGTTTTAATCACATTATTACAGTAGATATTGTAGTATGGTGTAGATGCATTGCATCACTAAGCGTTATAGTTAACTTCAGATGTACTACAATTTTAACTTCAAATGTACCAACAAATGATAATAAATCTTAAATTTCCTTTTTACGTGCATGCAGTATTTGTTACCAAACGTAAATCACTAAATTGACAAATGTCTTCACAAAAATAGTTGATCATCATGTGCTGTCACAATTAATGAAACGTATGCACTAGACAAGTATAGTCGTAAATTTGTTATGGCTAGATATCAGGATTTTGGTTGGGTAATTGCTAGATAGTATACTTCAAAATAAGGTTTATAACGTAGAAAAAACCATCCTAACGCAAAACTAAACCCTAACCCTAATACTAACCTTACCCTAACCCCAACCCTAACCCTAAACCTAACCTAACCCTAAACCTAACCTAACCCTAACTTATTTAAAAAATTGATATAAAAACAGAAACCTTATTTTGAAGTATACTATCTAGCAATTTCCATTTTGGTTGGGCCTCTACACTCGATATAACTAATTGTACAAGAGTTTTGCAAATTTCGAGTTTTATACATTAGACCTAATGAGGAACAGTTGTGAAAAATGGCAGGACTCGAACCTGCGGTCCTGTGATTCCGGTGCAGTGCTTTAACCAACAGAGCTACAGAGTTGTCGAGCTCTAATCGCAAGTTCATGTATACTGAGGTATACTGTATATTTCTTTACAACTACTCCTCGTTAGGTCTAATGAATGTATAAAATTTACACTCGAAATTTCCATTTGCCAAACCATTGTACGTAAATTTGTTGTATTAATATCATGGTGTATTAGTTTCAGGTCAAGATATCCCTCGTGGAAACTTGAAACGTCAAGTATGTTCCCATGAGGCTATGAGTAATATTTGTTTGAGCTAATCAATCTCGTTGGAACATCTTAAAATATTCCTATTAGTCATATTTTAACCCTTCCTGAGGGTTTTGTTCATGAAATGTTCAATGTTTGAATTTTATATAGAGTGAAGATTGTACAGTTTTCTTCTTCACCATTGGAGATCAAGTTTGTAAACCCGTCGCATTTATCGAGACTGCTTCACCAGTGGTCTCGATGTCGTGGTTGGATAATGCAAAGGTACAGTTTGTCTGACGATGATTCTGTAATGGGATCGAAATATAACAATTTACGTCTTGTTTTACTTTTGAGTTTTGAAGATGTTTTCATTTTTCAGTTTTTGTACTTTATTTCCTTAAATTGTCGGTTGGTTATGTAACCTTATGAAATCCCATAAGAGTGTCCCAAAATACTGCAATTTCTCCAGGAAGAAAGTGTTTAATGCAGTTTACTGTAGACCTCATGAAGAATTTTTTAAGAAAAGAAAATTTTCTAATTGTTACAAATTATTTCGCGGTGCCAATGAAAGTTCTATAATGAAGTGTATCGTTTTAGGATCCTGGTGGACTTTTAGTGTTTTGTAAGGATGGTGCTGTACTTGATGTCGAGGCTCCGCGTATTGAAACAGTTGATACGACCAAGACATTCCGAATTCCTTCACAAAATTTGGTCAAACGAGAATACGTGTTTGCGAGAGTGAAAGATAAACTATTGGTAAGTGTACATTTTACATTTTATATCAAAATGAAAATCTTAAACATTGATCTGAGACGAGGAGGAAATACAACATTCCTTTTGCACGAAGCCCATTCGTCTGGAAGGCTATTAATTTTTAATCTTTTTCACATACACATGCAGTACGGTAGTTGATAGTTGGCAATATATTTTAGAGTAATACTACTTACACACCTCCATGCAAGCTTAAAATTCTAGGATGACGTATCAGAAGGAATGCTTCTACAGGTCTGGGAAAGATTTGAGACATAAAGAGTATATACTGTATTTCTTATATATTTATGATTGTAGAAAGCGGAACGTACATGGCTAATGTGCCGCCAAATGTTTCGTTGTTACGCAATTTAACGTTGTTACGTGATAAAAAGGTAAATTCTAGGTCAAACAACATTAGGGACGGAAAGTGCTAGTGTGGGTAGAGATGACAATAAGATAACTGCAGATTGCGAGAGATACGTTTTCGAAGAACAGTATGTCACAGGTCATGTCACATTTATGCTTGTAGAAAGCAAAAGTAAGTAAAAGGTAAATATTAATGATAGTCGTCAGGAGGAGTGTTTAGGGGTAGGTATGATTTAAGACATTGAGACATTTCTTTGTAACTGTAGAAAGAGGAAGAAAATGAACTCGTTGAACTCATTTGACTCATGCATAAGGAACATTTTATAACATGGGAAAGTCTTTAGACATTGACATGACGTTTGTGTCTTCCTGTAGAAAGCGGAAGAAGATGAACGCAAAGCTGAGATTAAAGCAGAGAAAGAGAAACGTAAAGAGGAAGAAAGAAAGCGACGTCGTGCACGAGGTATTCAAGAAGAAGAAGAAGAAGAAGAGGAGGACGAGGACGAGAAGGAACAGGAGGAAGAAGTTCCTGTTGAAGAACCTGTAGATCATGGACCATGTCTCACTATACGTGGCTTTCCTTCTGTTCATCTTGACAAGTTCTGGATGTTAATGGTATGATTCTTTTCTGACAACAATCTCTCTGTATTTAAACTTCTCAACTTGATGTGTCATTCTCTTATCCACCTGATATCATTATTTCTGTTTTAGCAATTTAGTTACATTCACCTTCATTTCAACAAATTCCTCTTCCATACCAACAATCCTCTTCACAGCTTCTCTTTCCTGTCGGCTTGAATAATGAATTATTTATGTAGTCGCCGTGAGTACGTCTAAGACCAGCAAGTGTACTGTAGCAACGAACAACAAAGGTCTATAGTGCAGAACATTGAAATGGTCTGTGTCACTGAACTTTGAGTTTTCGCTAGTACTGTTCACTGTTGCAAAATCTTGCGCTAAATTGATTGATGACAAGTTTGACTTGATCATGATTGTTACAGGTCTGCAGTTAGCTCAACGTCGCTTGCAGGTAACCGGGTTACCGCGGATCCCAACATCTCACACTCATGAAGCAGCGCATCATCAATACCTCTACACAATATTATTTCTCCTATACATTTGTTTTCTCTGGGTGAAACACAACCCATGTACACAGCAAAATTTCAGGCAAACCTTAATCTGCTCTCTCATATACTATATTAATTAATTAAATATTTTATCACAGGACGGTTGGGATGCAGGTTATATATACGAATGTGAATTTCCTAAAGAGGTACAATCTGACGAGTCACCTGAAGCTACTGAACCTATCAATGCCATCAAGTTACTAGAATGTGATGATACGCCAATACGGTCGTTCACCTACAGGTAAAATTATTACATGTACGAAGACACTTCACATATTAAATTAAAGTTCATGTATGTATCTAGGTAGGGATCTTTTAGTAGACTTTTAGTAATTTTTGATCAGTGTTTGATGCTCCTTCATTGATGTAGCTAATTGGTTTTTAATTTTGGCGACTTTGATTTTTTTATGAATGGGAATTATGATATCATCGATCACGTGAAATATAGGACCTAAACTTTTTGGCCATCGATGAAAACTAAAAGCTTTCATCATTATAGAAATACCCGAATCGCCAGTTTTTCTTAAAAGGTTCCTGTGAAGAGCCACCAATCTTGGTACGAGGTTTACCACCGGTTATACTTTTTTTTAAATATACTGTACATGAATGACTAATTCCGTGTTGTATTTTCACTTTAATCAATGGCAAGGAATCGTAAAGGTAAACTAATATAAAAGCGATTTGTAACGAACTATTTTCAAAAAAGAAAACATTTTCAAATGAAATGAAGGAGTCATGTTTTGAAAAATTTTGCTCTTTCCTAAATCGCATCTATCCAAAATTGCATACTTGTTTTAGCGTCTTCTTAATTAATAACTGATCATCTCTTCTCAAAAAGAACTTCAGCCAATTCTACTGCGTTAAGCTTAATATATGGTTACACAACATGATCTCTTCTCAAAATTAAGACTATGTAAAACTTTTGAAAATTAAGGATATGGCTTAAATTTGAAATTCTCCAAAATTAAGGCATAGCCTTAATTTAATAATACCACAATCATTAGGCAAGACTTCTTGTTATAAAAGTAATGGCCTTAGAAAAAAAAGGTCGCCAGATTTGGACCGGATTAGGGTTAGACTAAGATTAGATTAGGGTTGGGGGTTAGAGGTTAGGGTGGGGGTTAGAGGTTAGGGTGGGGGTTGGGTGGGGGTTAGGTTTAAAATTTAGGCAATGTCTTAATTTGAATGCTTTTTACAATTAAGACATAGCCTTAATTTTCGGAAGAGATCGAGCTGTGTTACAAATCAACCAAGTTTAAAAAAGTGGGCAAAAGGACAACCACACATGTAATAATGTCTAAATTTGTCTCATTAGTGAAACGATTCATTGTCTCATCACAGGCGCTTACATAAAAAAACTAGTTTGAAAGCTCTACTATACAGTTTTCCACTAGCATGCTATCAGGATCTTGATCTTGCTGTATAGTGTGTTATGCAACTGAACATGAAATATATCTCATTTTGCAGACATGATCATGACTTACAAGATCAGATTATGACATATAGAATAGTGCAGTTTCACTATGTTTGACTCGGCTAGTAAACGTCTTAATTAAGGTGGCTGTCCACTGCATTTTGGGAAGTGCAGAATTTATAATGGTGGTCTGAATATGTATAACTTTTACTTCAAAATAGGGAGAAAACACCTCTGCGTTTGATTGGAATGGTTATGAAAAGTGATTCCCCCTTTGCGTTATTGTTGCTAGAGGCTAAACAAGTCACAGAAACCCAAAGTGAAATAAATTGTCTGCAGTTTATATACGTCCACGTTTGAGGAAGCACTTTCCTTTTGATATTACATACTTAGGGCCGGTTGTTCAAAATCTGATTAGCTTAACCCTGGGTTAACCTAAAATTCAAAGCAAACTTTCCAACAGCTTGTTTATAATGTTTGTGATATTACTCTGAGTGTGAATCCTCACCAGGCAAGCTGAAACGTTTGCTTCACCATGGTGGGAATCGAACCCGCGACCTTTGGGATACTATAGTCCAATGCTCTGCCAACTGAGCTACGAGGTCAAGTCGGTTCGAGTTGGTGATATTTCGAAATTGAAATATTTCTTCAGACATATTTTGTTGGATCAGTAGAAGTTTTCTTCTCTATAGTCTTGAAATAAACAGACGTGCAGAAATACATAAACTAAAACAGCAGGTTAAATTTTAATCGGGGGTTAGCGCTAACCCAGCTTTGAACAACTGGCTCCAGGTGTACTGTATATGTTACTTTGTATAAAATACGAAAAGTTTTGTGACAAAAATGGCGGTAACCTCTGATTTTGTGACAAAAAATGGCGGTAACCACGATCTCACTGATCTTTGTTTTTTTCATTGCATTTTGTGAAAGAGCCCGAAAATTTACCAAAATTATACTATATTTGAAATGAAGGACAAAACGAGAGATTTGTTTCTTTATTAACAGTTATTCTGGTGATTTCGTGTTGTTTGGCATGGAGAACGGTGTAGTGAGAATCCTTCCTGTTCATGGCAAGAATGTATTAGATTCATTAACAACATACTGGGCACTTCATGCACATGATAGTCAACATGGAGCAATTACTGCTATCAGAACCAGCTTTGATGATCGATATGTGTTTACTGTGGGTGCTGATGGCAATTTCTTTGTCTATAATTTCATGAGTGATGCAACATTGAAAGAATCCAAGCCTATACCACCAATGACAATACCCAGGATACAGGTACGTGTATAATATAGCCCTATGGAGTTTTCAGTCTGCAAATAAACTTACTAACAGTAGCTCATTGATGATGTACGTTGTGCTACTCCTTTCTGCGTGAAATAGTAATGAAGAATGAGAAATATACAGTATTCTGTTGGAATTTTTAAGTTCTGCTAAAATTTTGGATATTCTGCAGGAATTTTTTAAGACCACCTGTCTTTTTTGTATCCCTGCAGAGCTGCAGTAATTTTATTTTTGTTCTCCAAATGACTTTTTAGAATATTCTCTTTGCATTTTTGATTGATCTCTAACCAGTAGTTCGTTAACTTACTAAATTGTACATAATCTTCCCCTCGAAATTTCCATCTACAAAAGACTTTCAACTGTTAGTTCAATCGAGCGAGTTGCCAAAAAATCTCGATATTTACCCATGAAGTATGCATGTACTGTTTTGCTAAATACGTTATTGTACGCGCCTCGAGATGTCATCTGTTAAACTCATGTTAAAAAGTATTCGTGCGTCAGTTATTTTGTAAGACTAGACGTGCATTAAGTGTAACTGCATTCTGTGGTGTAGAAAACGTTTGAAGCATGTTTGTCAGTAACAATATACAACAATATACTTTTCAGACTGTTATTGGTGAAGATGGACAAGAAGTGCCGAAGACAATCGATGATATTGATGATCCTAATTATTACAGGTAGATTTATTGTGCATTGCTTAATGTCCTCGCCTGTATTGTCCAGTTGGGTCGAATCACTTGCTATAAATAATTTCCGAATACCCCGACCGAGAATGAAACGAATGGTCATTGTTCTGACACACTAGCGCTCTGACCACTCTACGAGTTTAACAGTTAGTACGGTCGTTGGACGATGTAGGCTGAGCCAGCCAGGAATAATAGGATTGATTCATGTTCATAATGGGGTGAGGCGGTTAATAGATAAACCGAAAAACCCGATGTTTTGTGAAAACCGATGTTGCTCTAGGCGAAAAACCGAAAAAGATATCCGAAAAAACTGTTTGAAACTCAGTAATATTGAAACAAAATGGCAGTTTTTTCAAACGGTTTTCGGTTTTTACCCTGAACCACCTCACTTCACACCTGCATCCTACTATGACACTTTCGCATAACAGTGCTTTGCATATTGTTTTGCTTTAGCTTCTATCCAACTTATGCATGTATGTGCGTTTTAGTATTATTAGTATTTATTTATTTGCTTTAGCTTCTATCCAACCTATGTATGCATGTGCGTTTTAGTAATTACTAATCATGTCATTTTAATACAGCATTGAACTTGAAAAACAGAAAGCAGAACATGACAGAATGGTCAAAATAGCTGAAGAGAAGAAACAGGTAACTATGGAACTGATCTTTGGAAATTTTTGTTACCTGATGTCTCAATTTCCATTCAATTAATCTACCAAATTTTCTTTTAATTGATGTTCAGAATGTTCGTCGTGGGATTGCGAAACTGAGAAGATCTTTCAAATCTCTTCTTGTTCAGAACAAAGGTCTACCGGAGTATTTGTGTATTAAGGCACAGGTAATTATCAACTTCAAACTTTTGTCTCCTAATGCTAACGGCTACCACCAATCCTAATCTTAACGCCATTCAATCGTTATCCTACCCTAAACTTAAAACTGCATATGCACCCAAGTTACTCTGATATTGGAGATTGATATGGAGATTCACCATTTCTCGTCGAGGCTGAACATACAGTATATATATACAGTAAGCTCTTTCTTTTGTTCTACAGGAATTGGAAATTGATCCAGAAATCCGAAAACAACAGGAAATTGAGGCTACAGAAAAGGTTTGCCAAGTTGTAATTTTTGTATTGGTTGTGAAAATTTTAAAGTGCATTGTTACGTCAATGATCTCATTACTTTGTAGGTTAAAACAGTATGGTTGCCAAGTTAGTTAGAAAAGTCACAAATTTCAACATGATATATTAGGATATAAATCTGTCTAATTTCTTGCAGCGCTCCAATTCCCTCTATTTTTTATCACAGATTGATCTAGTTCACAAGGAACTGGCTTGGGAGTCAGAGAAACACTCGATAGGATTACGAAAACTACGAGACAGGTTCGTGTTGAGCTGTATCATGCACCTGTACAGCTTATTGCACCATCATCGTTCTAGTCGCTTGTCACAACATAGTTAATATATAAATAGGGTTTTTGTAGATGGAAATTTCGAGTCTAAATTTTATACATTTATTCAGACCTAACCAGGAGCAGCTGCCCTATAGGGCCTTTAGTTGCATTTTTCGCACTGTTCCTGGTTAGGGCTTATAATTGTGTTAAATTTACACTCGAAATTTCTACAAAATCCTTCAACATTAGTTCAATCGAGTGAGATGCCCGCAAATCCTGCTAATTAAATATATAAATACATTATAAGATACACTACCTACGATGAGAATTCCAGTTGGATCTCCAGGGCCGATAAAGAAGTAGTGCACTACGAGATCATGTTGAGGTTGACAGAAAAAAAGAGCGAATGATAAAATGTCAAAAAGAAGGAAGGAAGGAATAAGATCATTAGATTGAATGGCAAAATATTTAGTAAACCGGACCATATGGTTGCCAAATTAGTAAAAAAAATTTACAAATTTCAACACGATAAATCAGGATATACTGTACATATTATTACTACAGTACAAAGATTCCTCGATATTTCAGGTTTCAAAGTATGATGGAATGTGACCGAATCATTATTTACGCGTGTCGAAGTCCGTACCAAGTCTCCAGTTTTCGTTCCGCGAAATTACCAGAACTTCATGAATCTCTTAAGCAGTCCTTGGAGGAAGCCGCTAAAGAAGGGACGTCTGCTGCTAACCAAAAGAAATTCAGTATCCCTGGTTTCAAAGGAATGTTACCTTATGGTAAACGACGCTCAACTCAGGTTGACACCCGTAAGAAAAGTCAACAACCAACCACTGGTCTTATAGCACCTCCTGCTGCTGCTGGAACGGGTGGACAGGTTGGAGGCAAGGTGGCCAAAGCTTTAGAGAAAGCTGAACATAGACGAATAAAGCGACAGTTAAGACAAGCTGAGGTGAGAAGCTATAATGTCCTGTACTGTGTGTGCTGTATACTCTGCCATTATATTCTGTTGTAATATAGTGCACTGCACTGCACTGCACTGTAATATGGTGAATAGTGATGTGTATAGTACTGTACTAGTTCAGTCCTCGAATTTCCCTGAAATCAATCGACGGCATGACGTTAAAAATTGCCGTAGAACGTAACAGCTGTCTACGGCATTTTTTAAATTACTGTAATAAAACTTTAATTTTATTGTTACTTTGGATTTTGGACAAGCTAGAAACATGTCTACGTATTTCTTTAGTGTTTTTTTTTCGAAGAAAACTGAGATGATTTGATCAACATCTGAATAGTATAAAAATTGCACTAAACGGCAAAAAAATTGCCGTCGTCGGCAATTGCCGCAATAAAATCCGAGCCCTGTGTACTACTGTACTGTGCTTTACTATTCTGTACATAGGTTGCGTTGTACTGTGCTGTACTGTACTGTACTGTACTGTACTGTACTGTACTGTACTGTACTGTACTGTACTGTACTGTACTGTACTGTACTGTACTGTACTGTACCAGGCCTAGAAAATATATTTCTCTTCCTGGCAGCAAAATCCAAAAATAAAAATTTCCTGTGTAAGTCAAATATAAAACTTCCTGCATAATTATGTAGATTTCAGAGAACGTATTGTGCCCCACATTGTGATGAACTATCAACTTGAAAACAATATCACGTTGCAAAATGCTTTTGAAATTTTTAAACAATAAGTAAATTATATGGCATTCCAGTGTATAAGATGACAAAAATTTCCTGCAAGATGTAAGAAAATTTCCTGCAAAGATATTTTGGGAAACATTTCCT